CTAGTCCCAGTCCCCGCCTCTTGAAGATGTTCTTTGGCATAGCGCTGAAGGGTGGGGAGTCTCAGACCATGGACGAGGTCAACGCCGATATGGTCCATCTCACACAAGCGTGCTTGGTTGACCCCAAGACGGACTCCCGATGTGAGATACAGGTAGTTCTCTAAGGAAGACTGTCTAAATGTCATCGTCGCTCTCAGGTGAAGGAGACTGAAGGCGAGTCCTTCACAATTGCAGTGCTGACCAAGGGCAGCTCGGATGCTTTGAGCCTCGACCTTACCTTCTCCCCGGCCGATCCACCGACCTTTGTCAATAAGGGCAAAGAGGAAGTTCATCTCACTGGGTAGGATGAGCCGGTTCCGCTATATCGCCTGTATGGTATGCCTCGTAGATGCTATGAATTTTATGATGTCGAAGGTGAGGAGGACGAAGAGGAGGAAAGTGAGATCGACGAGGCTGAGATGAATGAGACGCTCAATACTAAGCTCACTGAGATGATCAAGGAAAAGGCCAAGGAGCAGGGCATCGAGGTGAGAGTATTGGCCCAACACTCTCATCCAGGGTTATCGATAGCTCGTCAGGTCGAGGAAAGTGATGATGATGACGAGGAGGAGGAGGAAGAAGAAGAGGAAGACGTGGAGGTAGAGGAAGTTGAGTCTGAGGGCGAGGAGGAGCCAGCCGCCGCTGAGGAATCCTCTCCCAAGAAGGCCGAATCTCCCAAGAAGCCTTCTCCCAAGAAGGCCGAATCTCCCAAGAAGCCTTCTCCCAAGAAGGCCGAATCTCCCAAGAAGCCTTCTCCTAAGACGACGGAAGTCGCTAAGGAGGTAGTAAGGGTTGTCTGAGTGTGATATTGTTGATTTCATTGTGTGCAGGAGAAGAAGAGGAAGCTCTCCGTTGACGAGTCCTCCCCCAAAACGAGTAAGCCCGCCAAGGCCGCAAAGAAGGACGGCAATAAGGTGGAAGACGACTATGCCAAGAGTATAGTCGAGTTCCTCACCAAGAACGGTAAGCTTATCGCTCCGTCAAGCGCATGATTTTGGTACTGGTCACCACTTCAGGTCGCACCAATGTGGGGCAACTAGGGTCCAAGTGCCGTAAGCCTGCGTCGGTGAGCAAGCTTTCTACCTTCATCAAGAGTCGACATGAGTTCAAACTCTCAAATGGTTTCATCGAGCTCGCCTAATGATAGTGAGTAACGTATTTACCAGGGCGGAATTGGATGAACAAGAACAACGAAAGTTTAAAACTGAAGATTCAGTGTTGTCTTTATAAGAAAGTGTCAATCCACACTAGGAGCGAGTCGTGTCCACTCATTTGAGAAATAGTCGGTAGCCTCGATAATTTTAACCATGAGATAAAGAAGTCTCACCCCTTTGAAAAAGACACACGGCAGATACGTTGGAAGCAGGATATTTGGCATTTATTACTCCACCACTTGACAGTTGGATTAAATTGGAAATTTTGTATATTTAGCAATCATCAGCAGTTTACATCATCCTGAAAGTTTTCTAATAATCTCAGTCGTTTTTCAGCTCAGCAATATGGTACTGCCTTTTTAGTTATTTTAATCCTATTGGGCTTTGCATAACCCCACGTTTTGTTTGTATATGGAATTTATAAAACTCACTGTACGATACATTCTGATGCAATAACAGAAGTCTCACTCAACGGGTGAATGATCGTATAATCACTGGAAAACTCAATATCAGCGTGTTAAATCGAACACCGATTTGTAAGCATGTCTACTCATTCACAACGACTTTGATCCCATGCGGTATTCTTCCCCAAGTGAGAAAGGATCTAAGGTGTTCCATTGGAGGGCGGATGCCTAACAGTACGTCGATCAACCTTACTGGCATCATGGCGTGCTTCTGCAAATCCGACAAATGCCGCGCCTGGGCTCCCATCGCCGCGATCAAAAGTGGTGAACCAATGTCTCATAAAGACCTCACCAAATAGGAAAGCAGGACCGTACCTGAAACCGTAGCATTACAGTGAAGAGCAGTCAGTCCCCCTTACTCATCGGGCACTGGTATCGCCATGAAGGCCGGCTCACAGTATCCGTCTCCAGTGCCAACCATGTACACCGACGAGGGTATAGCCTACAGGAATAGGACATGGCCGACCGCATAGCTCAATCGTCTTCACCAAGTCGAACGGTTGACTGTTCTCATCCCGCAGCATATAGTGTAGATCGGGATAAGCCTCCTTGTCGGCTGCAATCTGATTGCATGCTCCACCCGGCAAGCGACGGAGGATTCTAAAACAACGACTTCAGCTCGCCGAGAGTGATGCCTTTACTTTTCAGCCAGGCCCGGAGGGGCCGTGAAGTACGTAGTCCCTGTATCAATAATCAACTTCCTAACCCTCTTCTCTTCATCAGACCCGTGCCTCTCAGTGCGAAAACTGAGCCAAGACATGTACTGTCAGAAACACCATTACTATCCAACTCTCACCTCGACGATCCATCATCAACTTCATTGATGAAGTCCTCGAAGAAGCTCTGCGTACCACTAGACAAGGCTGCGAACGACTTGTTGCCTAACGAAGAGTAGACCACCACCACGATCAGCCTCTCCCACCGATGAGGAAGTCATCCAAGTCGATCGACCAGTAGTGTTCCTGTGTAACTGGGAACATCTTGATGTCGTTTTTGTAGAACCTATATTATAATGACGGTACTCAAGGACTATACTTTCAGTACCTCGAGTCGACTCCTCCAAAAAGAATCGCTGAACGCGTTGAAGGCATCGGCTCGAAGTAGAAGCTAAACTCGTTCTGGCCCCCCAGGACATTCTGCCGCATTACGTTATCGAAGAAAGGTACATGACCATCTGAACAGAACTCTGCATTCGAACGCCTTTGCAAAGTACTATTGCCCTCGACGATGGACATACTTCATCACATGTAGTAGTCAATGCCCGAAATATCCTTCCGAGTGCGAGATCCTACATTACTACCTGCAGCCATTGACGGAAAGGCCAGTCCGAGTATACCCTCGAACGGTATCTCATAGAAGATCTTTCCCAGCTCTTCCTCAATCATAGCGAAGGTTTGGTCTTTCACCTGTCACCGCCTCGCTGTCACCACAGCTGTGTGATAGACTACCTGATACGGCCCCACCGACAGAGTGTCGACCCCTTCCGGACCCCGGAGCTCTCCTGTGCCAAACTGGATATCCAGGTGGTTGGGCCTAAAGAAGGATCAATAGAACTGAGGAGCCCCACAGCTCTCCCTACACTGTAGTATTCTCGAATGAGCCACTCTCGAACATGTTGAACTTATGTCGATTCCGACAGGGCTCGCTGATGCACAACGCCGACTGCACCCAGAGATTGGTCGACCCTAAGGAAAGCCTATTGCACAATCCACTGCAGGGGAATAGCTATACCAGTATCGAAAACCACGTTGACCATGGCCTGGGGCTTCGCTCCGTCGTCGACAGTACCCACCCCTATCGGACCCACGTACTGTGAATCTCGGAGGTTCGTCAGCGGTATGACACCTGTCTAGAATACTCCCTCTCTAACCCTTCCAATAGATGCCCTACCGTTCGCGCTGACCTGGTAGGCCCGACCATGTCTGTGCCTCTTCACTTTAGCACCCTCCAAGGTCATGCCCTCCTCGAGGTCCGATACCCCATCCGGATTGTAGTACTGCGCGAAGAGGTCACGATGGTGGTCCCGGAGACGTTCTGAAACAATCACAGTGGCTCCTATACACGTAGTCCGCTGTCACTAGTACCTATCTGATGCTTTGTGACGAGAGTGTGGTACTCGAAAAAGGAGCTGGCATGGTGCGGTTTGACGGCACCAACGCGACCACGCACATTCCCACTGGGCGTCTCGTCCACCGTAGTACCAACTGGTACCAGAGGTAGCACATGCATAGGACCATGACCAGCATGGACCCGCCCGTCAGCTAGGACCTACAATGAGTGAGTACAGGGACAGGCTCCCTGCTACGACCTACTACCAAAAGGGTGACGAAGACTACGGCCCAGCGCATGTGCCGACTGAAGCCAGTGGTGCAGGAGTAGGTCATAGGATGATCTCCACTATGTGGATCATGCCCACTTAGAGAAGGCTCAATGATGACGATAATAAGAGCTGAAAGAAAAGGGCTCGGCGGTCGAGCAGCACTGCTATCAGCACGGCAATCATGCGTTCTTGCAGTTTACATGCAGAATTCGAAAAAAGCGCGCGCCGGAAATAAGTACCCTAACTTAGACATCATCTTACGCACTTGAGCTTCCTCAATGGAATTGTTGTCGCAGGACTTGCTAATCGGTGGCATGTCCAGCATCTGCACTCGCATGAGAAGC